GGATCTGAAGTGAAGTAAAGTGCCCTGAGATGCATGGAGAATGGGGGGAGGATTCCAGAGCCATTGGAGAAGACTGGAAGGATTTGGTGAGCAGATGCACAGCCTTAGCAAAAGGGAAAGGACCGTGCCTTGAGCTCCAGTGTGAGGGTGAGTTTGAGGGTGGACCCATCAGGGGTAGCTATTGGTCTGAACCGGGAGGGATTCAGGTGATTGACTGGGAAGGAATCCGTTTGGGTCCAGGAGGCCACTGTGGGAGCATAGAATGAGGAGACCTGGTGGCCGAGGGTGAACCCCAATGGGCACATCAGTGCCCACTGTGAGGATGCATGTGAGTGTTGTTCAGTTGAAGTTATGAATGAATAAATGAGTGATTGTGAAACAAGTAGGTTTCCGATTGAGAAACACTATGTAATCGTCATGAGAAGAAGAAACGAGAGCACCTAACTGCAGTAAGGCAGAAAATCAGACTGCCAAGGTCCCCAGGGTCTAGCCAAATATCTATCTGCAGAACTCTAAATGCGTTTCTTCTGGTTAAAGAGAACGACTCCTCCTTTCTGGTAAGCAATTTGGCAGCTTGTACCAGGTCTCTGAAAAGTTAATATCCCTTGACCCATTAATTCTGCTTCCAGGAATGCACCCAAAGGAAGTAAACATAGCTGCCGACAAAGATTTATGAAAAAAGATATTTCATCGTCCCAGGATGTGAATTTCCCTGGAAGACTTTGGGGGGGTGAGGTGGGGGGGCAAGGGGTAGAGGAAAGGAACCTTGGCATCTTTTTTAAAGTTGGATACTATGCAGAACTAAGGTGCTGGATACAAAAAAAAAAAAAGTTATTGACATTTAAAAGAAAAGATGAACATTCAAAGAAATCTTGTGCTTTGTTCTCAGAACCCCATTCTCTGTTCTTGGTGGGAAAGGTGGGGCTAGGCTTCCCTGCAGGGTGAAGTGGGAGCCTTGATTGGCATGGTTTCCAGTGACTGCTGTGTATGGCCCTCGTGGTTTTCATTTCAGCATTCTGGCTTCTCATGTCATGTTCCAGAAATATTTCTAGAAGTTTCAGCATATTAGGCTGTTGCATACTGAGTTTTGCCATAAAGATCCTCCCTTCACTGCTGTCCCTGCTGGTGAAGACTGCTCAGATATAGGCAGCCTCTCCCTGGGAGAGAGACTCACTCCTGTGGGCCTGGGTTTGTTGACTTTGAATAGAATCTGAGAGGGCCGGAGATCCCCTAGGGAGCTTCATCTCCAAGTCCTTATCTTTTACCTTTTAGGTCTGAGCTTCAGACACAGCCCCCAGCAGTCTGTTATCTGCTGAGACATCTCTGCCACATCCTGGCATTCAGACATTGGCACCTGAGGACTTTGATTTTATGGCTGTGCCAGTTGCTACACTAGCCCCGTCTATATATCCCCTTTGTGTGAGTCAACCTTGTGATGGCCCCCTTCACTTCCCCCCCACGCCTTCCTCTATCAAGATGAGTTTTGAAATATTACAAATAGAAGTATTATGTAACTGTCTGTGAAGCTTAGAATCCTGACTTCTTATAAAATTATCATAGTATTATTGTGCCATGCTAGTATAATTATTTTTAAAGCCTGTTTACACTAATTGGCCGAAATTCTTGAAAGTTGAACCTCAAGTGCTATGTTGGTCTGAGCCAGTGTAGGGAGTTAAAACAGTTTTGTTGAATTCTGAAACTGAAAAACCAATTCGACTCCATCCTTACCTTCAAGGAGCTCCTTCTTGGAGAAGAGACATATACATGTATTTGCTCATTACCCGTGCATGTGTTCGTTCGTTCGTTCGTTCGTTCGTTCGTTCGTTCGTTCATTCATTCATTCAGAACGTCCTATTTTTCGCCTGCTACGTGCCACCATCATTTGGGCACAGAATTCCTGCCCTCCTGCCCCGTGAGTTCCAGCAGAGACTCCCAGGCATTAGGCGGCACTCAACTGGAGGGCTGGCTGAAACACATTCCAAGCTTCTGCTTCAGTTTCTGCTTAGTGGGGCCTGAGAATTTGCATTTCTACAGCTCCCCACGTGCTGCTGCTGCTGCTGCTGCTGTGAATACAGCACCATGTTTTGAGAACCTCTGCCAGACAAACCTAGAGGGAATTAGGCTTAAGGAAACCAGCCAGACTCAGAGCCTGGGGGGCAGGTCAGTGGGCCGAAGGGACATGAACATCCAGCAGGTTGTAGGGAAAGGGGAATTTGCTGATTTTGGCCCAGGCCTCTCTGGTGCGTCAAGCCCCAGTGGGGCGCTAGGAGAGTCCCCTCCTCGGAGTCTGCTGGAGGACTCCACTGTCTGCATGGCCATGGGAACCTGGGCGCAGTCCGAGAGAGGGTAGAGCAGTAACGACGGCCACCTAACTCCTCTACCCCCCCTCCTCCCTCCTCCAGCTCCCCGTCACATGTAACATCCAGCCTCAGAGCAGCTACACAGAGGTGTGAATCCCCCATTCTAGAGGTGAGAAAACAGAGGCGTAGAAAACTATAACATGCTCCGGTTCACTGAGCTGGCGAGATGCGCCCCTGGGGCGCCAGCCTGGGCCTCTGGCCCTTCACACTGCACAACGCAAGTTGAGACTGGCGGGTGGCTGAGCCCTCAAGGCGGCCAGCTTGTCACATTGCTTCAGTAGCCAGAGCTGTTTCTTGCGTGAGATGGTAGTAGTGGGGGCCAAGACAGGCGGGTGCCCCCCAGGGACAGCAGCAGGTGGGGAGCTCAGACTGGCAGTTTATTAGGGTGAAAGCAGGGCTGGAGTGTTGGGGGCTGGAAAGGTGAATCTACAGTTGAGGCATGGGGGAACTGGAGAACGAATGGTCCTTTCTACAGGAGCTGTTTCTGGAAATCACTAATATTTTCTCAAATAGAAATTTGTAGACGTTTAATTTTCATTTCCTTGAACTGAAGGTTTAGCGCGTTGAGAATGCACAGTCGGCGATTTGGTGGTGGGAAGCCCACGGGGATTACAATGGAGATGGAAACAGGCACAACATGATGTAAAAATAAACCATTATATTATTAAAAATAAATTAATTTAAAAATTAAAAAAAAAAAAAAAGAACGTGCATACTGTGTTCAAAACTAAACGAGGAGCCAGTCTTCACAAACCCTCTGAGGAAGCCTGGCAGCATTACTTCACAGTTAGGACGAGGGAGAAGGCAGCTCACCCCGCTGCAGTGAGAACTTGAGAACGTGGAGCTGCAGTGGCCCGGTGCCAGCTCTGACACGGCTTAGTGCCCACATCCGTCAGACAACCGCCACTGTTCACTGCAATCCACTTAGAGGGATCTGCAAAGATCTGTGCTTTAGCATGATATCCTCACTTCTCCCAGCATTAAGAATATATAAATGGCATAAGAAAAATGTCTCTTCAGTTTCTGTAAAACTGAGGGAGGCCCCTGTTGTTCCCTAAGTGACAAGAGTCAGACACCATAGTTCTCAGTTCCTTGTTAGCAAAGTATGCTTCTTTCTTACTGACCTGGCATGTCTCCTCGATTCGAGGACGTTATAATCCATCTCTTTTCCCTTTTTGCCCAGGTTACTAGAAAGCTCAAAGGTCCGTCTTGTGTGTCACCAAGCACCCCCAACCCAAGGTTCTTTGGTTAAGTATCTCCCTAGTCTTTGCTTTTAAAAGCTTTATTCCCTGTATCTCCTGGTAGACAGTTTAGAAAATAATTTCTAAAAACAGGTGGCCCACTATCGCAGATTAGTGAGTGAAAAATGAAGTTTCAGGATTCATAGGAAGACTTCTTTTAGCCTTGAGGAGTGATTTGGAATACCATTGTGCATCCATGTCCAAGAATATAACGTGTCCTGATGCGTTGAGAGCTGTTCTCTTGGTCATGTGGTGACCATTCCTGGGTGCCATTCCTGATGCTAAGCCCTGGGTACTCACCGTTTGCTCTGCCCTTGGAGAGAGTAGTTCAAGGCTGGTATTTCCCGTTATTGCTAAATGACAGCAGGTGGTCACTGCAGAGGCCTCTGGATCGTCTGAGGTCATCCTCTCTGGGCTTGGTGACTGAATCTTAGACGGCTTTGAGGTCTCCTGATTTATTTGAACAGAAGGTCTCCCAAAGACCCTAGTTTGATATGGCTCTTCCTGGAATTGATTAGACCATTACTTTGAGTTTTTCTTTTATTTAGAACTAGTTAAACTGGAATGCCTGGGAGCATCTGTAGGGAGGGGAGAGTTCAAGGGCTTCAGTGTTCCCTGTGGCACCTTGTCCCACCACCTCCCCTTGGGGCTCAGGAAGTTGTTCGAGACCTAAACTGTGAGGAGATTCAAGAATCTGCCCCCATATTGAGGGAAGGAAACAGAGAAGGGGTCTCGGGCTCCTTGGCTACCTGGGGCCTGAGAACATGGAGAAGCAGGTGGTCACAACTCTCTCTCTGCAGCCTGTCCCCATCAGTTTTTGTCCAGCGGTGACTTTCCCCACCTCTGCCCTTCTCTGCCAAAACAATTGTTTAAAAGAGGAAGTTCTCTGGGTCATAAAATGTCATCTGCTAGTTAGTATATGGTTATAAACACAGACTTCATCATGCAGTCGTCTGATTGGCAGGAAGTAGGTGATTCATCAGAAAAGAAAATAGCGAAAAAATAAACTCACAGAACATGAACTTCCTCTTTCAAACTCTTTGTTTCAGCTCATCCTTTGAGAACCTTTTTCTAGCCTCTTAAAAATCAGTAATAGGGACGAATGCGATGTTGCTAAGGTGAAGCCAACTGTTCACCACCAATTGCTTTCTTTTTTCATCAGACCGAATAGTCAAAACCAAAAAAGTCAGTGTCCCCAACTGGGCCAGGGTTGGGGGAGGGGGCGGGGCTGGTCTTGAGGACATGGAGCCTCTCCCAGCTTGATAGCGCTGATGTTCAAACTGGTGAAATACCCTCAAAGGGCCGTGAGGGGCTTAGAATATGCACACACACACAACCCTCCCTTGGGTAGAGCACCCCATTCACTTGGCTCCCCTCCTTCTGTTTGTCTCCCTCTCAGATCCAGGAGGCAGCGAGTCGGGGCCTGAAGTTCGTCGGGGTCATCCCTCAGTACCGCTGCCCTGGGGACAGCCGCCCTCCCATGCCTGCCACCAGCAGCGTCCAGGACTCGAGGAAGGAGCCAGGCTGTTGTGGGAGCACGGAGAGCCTGGACCCTGCCGACGGCACTCCAGCAGGGACAGATGGAAGCCCAGGAAGGGCAGCGCCTGCCGAGCAAGCCAGCTTGCCCTCCGGAGAAGGAGATGGGGCGGGCTTTTCACCCCAAGGAGTGACCCAGACTCTGGATGGACAGGATGGTGACCTCCCGGAAGTGCTTGAAGACCCACTCTCCACAAGTAAGTACGCAGCTTAAAGGGAGCTTAGTAGCTTTTCAGTGACCCAAGGTGTTGCTGAAAAGGAAATGGAGTTAGCTTGCAGACATAGAGGCCACCAAACAGGAGGGGTCATGTGAGCTGCTTCCCGGTCTCTGGACACTGCTGACTGGAGCGGTGACTTTCGGGAGGAGCCAAACCTCATGGAATTGACTGGCAGGCACCGCACAATGCCACCTTTGAAGTGGCTCCTAGAACGCAAGTCATTTCCTCCAAGAGTTCTTTCCTCCCCTGGCTTGCATACGGCCCTCCAGTCCCTGCCGCTGGCATGCAGGGAGTGTGGCAATGCGCAGGGCACCTATGCAGAATGCCCATCCTGCTCTGGCTCTGCTTATTCTGAACATCTGCCTCAAGAAAGAAACCCAGAAAGCCAGTTAGGACAAAATTGTGCTGGAAACTCGTGATTGTCAGCTGTCCACAATAAGATTCCAGGGAGTTTGTGTTGTGACAAGTCAGCACTGTGGCAAAAGCACGTGCCAGAGAGAATGGGAGCCTCTTCACCACACAGAGAGGGCCATTAGGGCATGTGTGTCAGGCTGGGGATTGCGGCTCACATGCTGCCATTTCTCAGTATGCCCTTGTATCGGGCCCTGTGCCAATGAGCATTTTATGGGTCTGATCACTCCATCCCCCCTAGAGCTCTGTGATGTGGGAAGCTTTGTTTTCATTGTCCATTTTATAGCTAAGTAAACTGAGGATTAGAGAGAATATCTGCTGCCGGGGCTGGGCCTTGACACTTCTGATATGTGAACCCCATGGGCTTAACCACCACCCCAGATCTCTCTGCTTGTGTTTCCTGTGTAATACACTCTTGTAGGCTGACAGGAATTACTGAGGCCCATTGTTCATAGACAAAGAGGTTTCTTTTCACCTCCAGCTAATTCTCTCTCCTGATCTTTCTTCAGGAAATCTAGTGTCCCGTCCCACCCCCACCCCCCGCACCCCCTAACTCAGGGAGTTATACAGCTGTCAAGACTCATAGGAGAATCCCCAGCCTTAGGAGACTTGTCTTTTTAGGCTTTTCTGGATGATCTTCCTGTTTAATGTTAGTGTTTATTTACTAATGCTTAAAATTAGCCTCTTATAAATGATGAGAAACAATTTGTGCTTTGAGCATAGAAAAGCAGGTGAGATTAGATCACTTTTTTTTTTTTTTTTTTTTTGTCAGTGAAAAGAAAATTGTGGGATGGTTCATTCCAGGCACTTATGAAGTTCACTTAGTGGGAGAGATGGGAGCGGCCTCTGAAATCTACTAGGACTATTGTTTAACAAGGCCTGACCCTTCTCAAATATGTACTGAAGCAGGGCCCTTCCTGGTGGCGCAACAGGTTAAAGTATAGCACTGCAAGCGAGCTGACAGTGCAGAGTTCGATCCTCAGCCCCGGAAGTGACCCCCATGGTGCAGCGGACCTCTCCTGACCCGCCCACTGCTCCCTTCAGCAATGTTTTTTGACAGTTCTGCCTGTTCTGCTCCCCACTCTGGCTCTAGTGAATCTCTCACTACCCCTGTACATCTGGCCTGTACCCCACTATGCATAAATAAATAAATCTTTAAAAATATATATATGTACTGAAGCAGAGCTCTTGTGAAAGACTTCTTTGGGGGAGACTTCTGTCCCCCTGGAGTAGCTGAGAGCACATTTATACCTACTAATGCATGTCCAAGTCTTATTGTAGAAGGCTCCATCTTCTCATTGCTGGTGGGCTGGATTATGGGCTTTGGCTCCTGAGAATGATAGATGGGCCTCCCTCCTCCATAAACCTAGAACTGAGAGGAGGTGGGGTTCAGGCCACACGGGGCCCTCTCAGGAGAAAGGAGAGGCAGGAAGCTGGGAGGTTAATAGCCAGACTTTAGTTACAGATTCTAGTCTGCCACTTCTAGTCTGCTAGGCAAGACACCCTCCGTACCTCCGTTTCCTCTCCTGTGAAATAGAGAGGGAGAAATAGTTGCTGGTTGAAAGGTTAGACGCTCAGCACTTGGCTCCTAAGCATGAACTGTGACAGTGTGGTCCAAGCTCAATAGTCCTGACCACTGACCTTCACTGACCTCTGCATGAAACTGGAGCCTTGGGAAAGGGTGCAGTAACTACTGATGTTCCCTTGGGAGTTTTCAGCTCCTCCCCGTGTTCCAGAATCCACTTGTTTGCAAAACTCCTTGGAGACTTCCTGTCTTCTGTGGTTGACTCCAGGAAGAGCTAATTGGGGAGACTTGTCCAGGACCAACCCCCTTCCAGGTGCTTCTGCAGCTGCTCATGTCGGTTGCCCAGAGGTTCCCCACTTGCTCAGCACACAGAAACCCTTCAGACACTCAAAAAGCTCCTCGACCCGTGTCCCATTTCCTCAAGTGTCGTCTGCTGGAAAGCCAGACCCTCTGGGGGAGAGTGGGCCAAGGTGTGTGTCTGCAGGTGGGGGCCCAACCGTGGCTGAGGATTTCAGCTGTGGAGGGTATCTTGGTACCTCCTTTTTTTCCTAATTCGCCAGCTAGGCAGCTCTTGCTGTTTACTCCTGACTGAGGCTGGTTCTTTGCTCCCTGCCCAGGAGACCACAGCTCAGGGTTATCCTTCACCCCCCCTTTTCTGGTAAGAAGAAGCCTTTGGCAGGTCTTTCTCAGCTAAGCTCACACGGGGGTGGCAGGCGCACACTGCAGGTGGCCTGGCGGCCGGGCGGCCATGATGGTCACCCCCTGAGTGGCCTCTAAGCCCTTCCTGTGTGTCTTCGCAATCCTGTCTCAGCAGTTTAGTGACCGAAGACGCGGCCATGCCCATTTCACAGATAAGGAGGTCCCGCCAGTGCCCTGCCCTCCTTCATTTTATCTCAGGGCCTGAACTTCAGCTTCCCTGAAGGCTGCCCTTCCCGGGATCCTGTCCCGGGGTCGTGGCCCTCACCTGAAAAGATTAGCTTCCCCCTAGTCTTTTTCCTGGGAAGTCTTGTGGTTTCCTTCCAGGCACCCCTACCTCCCAGCCCCCCTCCCCCAGCTTCCCCTCCCCGCTGCTTGCTCAGCTCTCCCTTGCCTTTCTCTCTGGGGCCCCCTAAGGAGAGTGAAGTGTTTTTACTCCTCTTTCTGCCAGGTGGGCTTAAATAGGCAATCACAGCAAGACAATTAAAAAGAACCCAGAGGGAGTCTCCCTCCCCCTCCTTCTCCTCCTTTAATTTATTTCCTTTATAGGAGGCCTGGGGGAGCCAGTGGAGGCAGTGACTGCTGGGATGGGGCTTGCCAGCCAGCTCTCCATCCAGAAACAGGGCATCCGGCCTTCTCCCCTCCCAGAGGCTGCTCTGGTCCAGAGGTGATGCCACCTTTCCCCCCCAGGAACCCTCAGGAGGCTCGTGGAATCGGCTCCTCACCAATAGGGTTTCCCGCTGGTTGACATCAGGCTAGAGCTGTGCAGAGACTCCTGGCGCCAGGATGTGTCCCTTCTCACTGTCCCCCACCTCATGGCAGCCACCTTGGGGAGCGTGAATGGCCCCTGTGGGCCCTTCTGGGTGCATTTCTATAGAAGGCAGCAGCCTTAGTTCACAAGTAGCACACAGGTGGGAAGGCCACTACCGGGGAAGGTGAGGGAGGCCTCGCATGGAACCCCACTTCTCTCCCAGCCCCAGCCTCCCCATCTTGTCCTTCCCTCGGTTCCTCTGTTACTGCAACTGTGGTCAGAGAAATGAGGAGGCCAGGCAGGTTCATGCGGGTTCATCCAGTGCTCACGGCCGCCAGAGTCGTCATAACCCTGCCAGGCACTGTCCTTCCAACCTCATGACTGTCCCAGACGTGCTTGGCAGAGCGGCCGAGGGGCAGCAGCCATGCTGGCCAGCTTCTCAGCCAGGGACTTTAGTCAGCAAGCAGCCTTGGCAGCCGCTCACTGTGGGAGGAGAGGAGGGGCCTCCCTGGCCTGGCTTTCAGGGGCGGCCCCCTTCCCTCCACTGGCCAGGATCCTCCCTTCTCAGGCCTCAGGATAGCCCCGACCCCCACATCTGCCACCTGCCTCACTCCCTGGCCTTTGGCTCAGTCCAGCCTCAAGCAGTCCTTGAACCCCCACCTGTGGTCAGCAGCGTTTGCCTTCTGTGTACTGATGAAATTAGCCTCTTGTTAGATTTGGGAAGCAGCCCAGGGTGTGGAGTTTGAAGGACTCTTGGCTTTGCCACTAACCAGCTCATGATTTCTGGGGGATCCACTTGAGGCTGCTGGCACGGAATCTGTGCGGCCCCTCCCATGGAGCTGGGGAGTGTGTGTGAGAGGGAGGAGGGGAAGGGCCGTGAACACAGGCGCTGGCCTGTGGCTGCTCTCATCCTTCCAAGTGGATTCCCGTAGACTGCGCAGGCGCAGAGCTCCGCAGCTGCCCTGGCAGCCAGGCCTCCTCCTGGCCCAGAGGCCCCTGCAGTTAGTGCTCAAGCCCCATGGAAGCCTGAAGTCGCCTCCTCGCAGATCCTGGAGTCTGGGCAGAGCCAAGACTCTGCTGCCTTCTTTGCCCACTGCTTCCCAGTGCAAACCATTCTTAGCTCTCCTTGCCCATGACCTCAGCCAACCTTGGCCTTCCCCCAGTTTGACTGCCCAGTCAAGGTGGCTCCTTCCAACCCAGCTAACTCGCCGGCCTCCTCCTCCTGTCTAGCCCCTGGAGCCCATGCCTCCAGCCAGACCCTGAATCCTCTTCCCTCCAGCCGTGGGACGTCAGACGCCACCAGCCCACCTGCAAGTCACAGATTCTCCAGACAGGTCTCCCGAGGGGCCCAGACTTCCATCTTGTCCCTCAGTGTCCACTGCCAGGCACAGGCCCCCAGGGGGCAACTGTCTCTTTCCTCCTACTGTGGAGAGCTTGGCAAGGCCTGGTGGCACCCCAGGAGGCCGCACCCCACTTCTCCCCCTAGCTTCCTGTTCTGTCTGATCTAGGTCAACTCTGTGCAGTTCCTACCAAATTACAGGGACCTTTCTAGACACAGGGGATCTAAATGGCAGCCCTCTGTCAGGGAGAAAGTGATGGATAGCGAGACAGAAATAGAAACCCAAGATAAGGCAGTCTGGATGTGCCTTGGGTGCTGGGTCCGTCCAGTTCCTCAGCCGTTCTCAGAACATCCTCAAAAACAATGCCTCCCTCCTCCTCCAGGACTTTCTGTCCCGTGTCTGGAAAAACCTTCCAGCTGGGGTCATTGCAGAGTCATGGAGCAGCTGAGAAAATTTAAACAAACGTGGGGCTTCTTTTTGGAATCCCTGGTGTCTGCTCGTGGGTGAGAATGTGTGTCTGAGAACCAGAATTTAAAACACCACTAGGGCATCATTTGGGGACAGATTCTCTTGGCCGCTTTCCAGGGGAGCGGAGCGAGGAGCCGTGGCCCAGGAGACAGTGGGCAGAGGCATTTATGCTCCGAAATCAGTTTCTCCCGCTCTGTCGTTGCTCCTGATGCTTGCGGCTGTGCACTCCAGCAGCACTTCCTTTTCCTTCCTGAAACATTTGGTTCAGTTTCTGGCTTCAGTCCTGTGTCCCGGGGAAGATCTTGCTAGAAGAGCCAGGGCTGCCAGGCCTCTACCTGCCCCCTGGGCCCCCTCCCACCCCGGGCTTCTTGCTGCTCCTTCTGACCTTCTGCCTTTTCTGTTTCATGACACAGGTGGGAAAGTTGTGTTCGCGTCTGAGCGTGTGGGGGACCCTTCTGTGTGAGTGCGTAGTCACGTTTTCTGCTCGTTGGCTGCCTGTGGATTCCCCACGCATTCCCCAGGCCGAAGCTGTGGTTTCTTTTCCTTTTTAGTTCATATGCATTTGGCTGGACTGTGCCAAGCATGCTGCTGGGCTCGGGCCCATCTTGGGGTCACCTGAGACAACCCCTCAGCTCTGCCTGTGGGCATCTGCTTGTGGACAGAAATAAAAAGTCATGTATTAGAAAACCCAAGGAAGAATTCAGCCCCAGGAACCCGTCCGACACATCTGACTGCAACCGTTCCAACATTGTGTTTGAGTTTGGTTTATATACGTAGGAACAGTGAATCATCGCTGTAAGAAACAGGATCACTCTTGACAGGGAGGTGAGGGAGCTTCTGGTCCTGTTATTTTAACCTAAAGATGTGTTCGTGCTGTCCATGTGCAGAGTAAGGCGGAGGCTGGGGCTTCTGACTTCCCTGGTTTCTAAAGAATACACTGTGATGGGAAAAGACCGAAAACCCCTTTTTTAAATCTTTATCTGGCTCTTTGTTCAATAGTGGGGCTGAACGCTGGCTGAGACTATGGCCACTTCACTTCAGGTCCGTGCAGACTTTGCTCTCTCACCTCCTGGACCTGGAGGGTCATTGCCGGAACATTCTACCATGTGATCACACTTTGGAAGTGTGCCTAAGGCCTCTTAAGGCACACTTAAAGCCTCTAAGGGGAATTCATTCTCAGTAGCAGAGGGTGAATGTCTAGACTTCCGGCCTGTTGATGGGGTAACCTGAGGTGTGGCCCACATGGTGCCCCAGGGCCCCTTGGGATTGAGTATCAGTTGCCATGGCAGCAACCCACTGATCAATGCACTCTTCACTGACTTCCATCCCTTCCCTATTTCCCATTTATACTCCCTCACGATCTTTCCTGGGATCACTTCCCAGATAAACTACATGTAACCAAAAGCTCAGAGGGCCTGCTTTTGCAGCAATCAAATCAAGTGCAGGACTTACTCAATGTTGCTCATCATCTTGCCTTTACTAGTAGCTGCAGCTTTTATTTGCACCCTTGGTACCCAGGATGGCAGATGCTGGGTCACTCAGGTCCTGGACCTCCGGCCCCAGTGCTTGCCTCTTCTCCTTTATGAAACTTTGCTCACATGGTTCCATCCCTGAAGTCCGCATTACAGAGCCATGAAATGGCCTGATATCGCCAGCTCTGTGCACCCATTGTTTTGTTATAGGGCACCCCAAATCTGTTCCAGAACAGGGGGAGAGGGACATCCCTAAGGCCCCAAAATCCTGCCTGCTCTAAGTGGGTTCTACCATCCGCCGCAAGAAGACAAAACATATATAAAACTTTAATGAAAAGGGACTTTAATACAGTGAATATACAATACGGAACACAAAGAATATAACTTCTAAATCAAACACCTGAAGTGACCCATCCCCTCTGGGCAAAAGTCAACCCAAAAGGGATTGGCCCAAAGCAAGGCCTGAAAGCTGCCACTAGACTAAAGCACCTTCTGGCCGGGATCCATGGAAAAGGGTCAGAAATGGCCAGAAAAGTCTGGGAGGAAAAGAGCAAAGTCAAAATCAATATAAACACTGCCATAGTCACCTCCCTACAGGTCCCTCACCCACATCTGCCTTAGCCAGTCCAG